AATTGAGAGAAGAAAGTATATCAAATTCATAATTAAATCTAAGAAATCTTGCTTTTTCAATTATGAGAGGTAAGAATAAGTATATTTGAGAATTTTGATGGAATAAGATAAAAAATTGACAATTTCAATAATAAATAAAGTAATATCTAAGATTGCATTCTTTTCAATACCTTGATGGATTTATTCAAGTTGGATTCATATGTACATTTTTCTCTAGAAGTACTCTCTCTTCATTTGCATATGTGGTGGAAAAGAATTTACATCTCCTTTATGATCTTAATTCATTCTTAGAAGTATTTATGACCACTTTTAGAAAAAGTGACCATAAAAGGATAGAAAAGACCAAACCTATATCTTTACAACATAGATTTCATTTATTTATTGTAGTATGGTTTTAAGAGTTTCTAGTTTCTTAATCTTTAGCAATAGCCATTACAATTTCTTTTAGAATATAAAATTTTATTTTATTTTATTTTATTTTATTTTTTATCTTTCTTTGGAAAACATCTTACTTATTTATTTACATTCTTTAAATTATAACCCTTGACAAAAGATCTATTACAACAAGTTTTATAAATTCTATATTAATTTTTTTTGATGTTCTTCAGATTATAATTAAGTAATTTTATATTTATTTTTTTAAAAATAAAATTAATTATCTTAAAATTTAAAATCAGATAATTTTGATTTGATTTATTTCAAATTTATAATAGAATATTTCTAATAAAAATGTTTTTTAAATTTATAAAAAATATAATTTAATATTTTTTAATATAATGATTTAAAATTTAAGATATGTATATAATTCTTCTATATGTAAAAATATAATAATTTAAGAAATATATTTATATAATAGGATATATTTAAATTATTGAATATTCATATATTTTGATTGGAATTAATAATAATTAATAATTATGTCATTTTAAATTAATTATTTTAGATGTGTTTTTAATAGACGTATAGTCAAACTATGGATAAAAAATTTCTTGTTATTATAATTTTTAGTATTTAAAGATTAAGCTAACAATAAGATTTTAAAAAATTAAATTAAAGAAGAAATATATCTGATTTGCTTTGATTGTGGCAATTTAGTGTGTTGTAATTTTATATAAAATAATTTATACATAGAACACTGTAAATTTTATAAATGTATGAATATTTCATATTATTTATTTTTAAAATATTTTTTTTAATTTATATTTATAAAAAGAATAAGTTATAAGTACTAGAATGATTTAAATGTTTTATGAGATTTTTGTAAATAATTATGAATATTTAAATTAAAACTAAAAAAGATAATGACATTTCAAAAAGACCATTTTTTGTCACTTTTTTGACACAATTATTCTTTGTAAATAGAAATTTGAACTAACTAACCTTGTTTT